GAGATTCCGTCTCAAAAGAAAAGAAAAGAAAAGAAAAGGAATACAACAAAGAATCAAATGCACCATGAGCTTTGTTTTGTGAATGAAACATAAAACGCAAAAGAAATATGCTGTGGGGGGTCTCGGGTCGTCATTTGTTTTCTGTTTCTGGTTTGTTTTTGGAGAGAGTCTGGTTTTGTCGCCCAGGCTGGAGTGCAGTGGCGCGATCACGGATCACTGCAGGTCCCGGGGCTTCACTTCCCGATTCGGTTGTCCTATTTCAGTTCATTCCTCAGGCGCGGAGGAAATGGTGGAAAGCCCAGTTCTGGGTGATCCCGGGCACTACCCCCGTTACCCGTTACCAGGAAGAAGGTGAGCCTGGCGGGTCACAGCACGAGCGTGCACAGGCCCAGCAGGGCCATCAGCAGCAGCGGGAGCTGGGGCGCGGGTGTGGTCCCCAGAGGCATACAGACAGGTGGTGTAGGCGTCAACGTCCACCTGGCGCATGGCACACACGTGCTGCCTCGTGGCAGACCCCAGCACAGTAGCTGACTGAGTTACAGACGTAGTAGTGCTGTAGTGCGCCCTGGTCGCCGGCGATGCGGTCCAACACTGCCTGCACAGAGTGGGCGCTGGTGTCGGGAACCCAGCAGGCTTTAGTCAGCTGGTACTCGAGCTCCCAGCGCCGCATCCCTGAGCATTCACCTGGCTCAGGTTCATGAAGTAGGTCACCATGTCCTGGAGAAAGGGTTTGGGGTAGGCCGGCTGTGAGCAGCTGTCTGCTTCCATCCCCATCCTGCACCTTGCATTTGCCCCCACGTTCTTTAGAGTAGTGATCATGACCACTAGTAGTTATTGAGCACTTAGCTGTGCACCCAGTGTGCTTGGCAGACATCCTCTGAATTGAATGAGGTAACTGCGCTTATTACCCTGGTTTCACAAATGAGGAAACTGAGGCCTAAAGAGGTTAATTCACTTGGCCAGGGTCATACAGGTATTCATACAGGTATTCATACATACAGGTATTCATACAGGTAGTCATATAGGTATTCATACAGGTAGTCATACAGGTACTCATACAGGTAGTCATACAGGTACTCATACAGGTACTCATACAGGTATTCATACATACAGGTACTCATACAGGTATTCATACATACAGGTACTCATACAGGTCTTCATACAGGTACTCATACAGGTATTCATACAGGTAGTCATACAGGTAGTCATACAGGTAGTCATACAGATATTCATACATACAGGTACTCATACAGGTATTCATACAGTTACTCATACAGGTATTCATACAGGTAGTCATACAGGTACTCATACAGGTAGTCATACAGATATTCATACATACAGGTACTCATACAGGTCTTCATACAGGTACTCATACAGGTATTCATACAGGTAGTCATACAGGTATTCATACAGGTATTCAGTGGTAGCAGGATTGGCCCCCAGGTTGTTTACCCAGGTCCCACCATGCTAGGGTACACGTAGAAGATGCTCAGTAAACATTTACATAATGAATAGACAAAAGCAACATAAAAAGAGCGACATTAAGCATGAGAGAGATCATGAACTATAGACTCCTAGGACCCAGGTGCATGTTCACGGCTAGGCTCTGCGGGGTTCATCAGTCCAACAGGTTCCAGGTACATTTATGAACCTGCTTCAGGCCACTGCAGACGGGGTAAGACGAGCTGCCTGTATGCATGGCCACTCTGTGCCAGGCACATTCCATTATTTCATGGAGTCCTCCTCAAACCCTGTGAGGTTCTGTTACTCCCATTTTACAGGTGAAGCAAGTGAGGCACAGAGGTCAAAAGATCAAAAAGCTGGAGTGGTGGAGTCAGGATTCAAGCTCAGGGCTGACTCCTTCCCTGAGGACAATGTAGGGCCCGTTCGCGGGTGATGGTGGGGGTCCCTCAGCCTGCCATTCCCCTTGCTCAGACCCTCAGAGTGCCCATGTGGACAACGGGCCACTCTTAAAACCCCTCAGACCTCTTCTTAATCTACATTTATTAGAATCAAGGACCTGGGTTAGCTCATCCAGCCGTTGGTTTTAAATGTCCTCTCTCCACTCCCAGATCACATTTCTATCGCCACCTCTTCAAGCTCCAACTTGCCCCTTCCCTGACCACTTTCACTTGATGCCATTCAGCCATCCCAAAGTTAGCAGGTCCAAAACCAGACCTCTGACTCACCCCCCGAAGCCTGATCACCCTGCCACTCTTCTTAATAACCGGCAGCCACAGCCTATCCATTGCGCAGGCCAAAAGCCTTGGAAGCCTCCTGGATTCGTCCCTTTCCCTCACAGCCCACATCCACTCTAGCAAATTCTGCATCCAAAATTCATCCAGGACCTGGCACTTTTTACCACCTCACTGCCTCCACCCTGGCCAAGCCACCATCCTGTCATCCGGGGTTTGTCCTTCCCTCCAAATGGCCTCACTCCTTCCCCACCTGCCCCTATAGCCTGTTCCCTGCACAGCAGACGTGATGATTCCGTAAAATTTTAAGTCACAGGATTTCATTCTTCTGCGCCAAACCCTCCAAATCCAAAGTCCTCATTGATGCCTGCAAGATCGGACCTCCCCTCCCCCTCTCCCCTTGGGCCTCTCCCTGTGGCCACCTGGCTTCCGTGCTCTTCCCCTAACCCACCAAGCACATTCCCACCCCGGCCTTTGACTTGCTCTTCCCTCCACCTCCCTGAGATACCCACATGGCTCACTCCCTCAATACACTCAGAACTCAAATGGCACCTTATGTGGACACTTCCCCTTCCCACCTATTTAACACAGTACACACCTCCCATAGCCATCACTCTGTCACCTCACTGTTTTGATTTTCTCCTTAGCCCTTCTCTCAGTACTAGAATTAATTCTACATATTTATTGTCCCTCTCTTGTGAGATGTCAGGTCCAGGAGAGGGGTGACTTTTTTTTGTACATTTACATATCTCATGAGATTAGAACAGGGCCTGGCCCATGGCACAGACTTAACGCATTTTGATGGATAAATAAAGGAATACTATTTTTCATCTCAACAACCACAAGCTCATCCCACCAGGTGAGGGATTGCTCAAAGAATTAGGGGCTGGAGCCTTGTCTGTGTATGGAAAAGGTGGACAATGGGCTTGAAGTCAGACTGTGGAAAGCCTTGAGTACTAGGCCAAGGAGACACAACTTTATCTTGAAGGCACTGGGGAGCCACTGAAGGTTTTTGAGCAGGGCAGAGACAAGATGAAAGTGGTGCTATAGGAGATTAGTTTCTTCTCTCTTGTGTAGCAGATGGACCACAGCAGGGCAGGGCCAGAGGCACGGAGACCAGGTATGAGGCTGTGCCAGTCATCCAGGGGAAAAGGAGACTTGGGGAAGCACTGCCCTGACTTGGTGGCAGGTGTCTCCAGGGTTCTGATCCTGAGCTGCTAGAGAAGGGTGGAAGGAGATCGACCTTCCTGGGGCTCAGTGGTCAGGGGAGGGTGGATAAGCTGAGCGTTAGGGGAGGTGGTGATGCATTTAAGCCCCTGCCACCCTCCTCCTCTGGCCTCCACAGGACTCCTGACCTTCAGGCTCAGTGTGGCTCGGTCATATTCGAACACCCGGATGGCTGGATTGTTGGCCCCATTGATCACTCCGGGTAATGTGGTTTTCCATGGGGTGACTCCAGGTGTGATGAACATGGCGCTTATGGGGGCACCTGTCAGGAAAGAGCAGCAGGACAGAGAGGGTCTGGGGAGAGAAGGAGGGACGGAGCTGGCAGTTGCCCTCCAGGTTGAATACCTGCGTCATCATAGAGCATCTGAAAGCTGTCAGTGTGGTGGTGCCTGAAGAACTGCCCTGCTATGACGCAACCATGCTTCCGGACCACCTTCAGGTATTTTTCGTTGAAGCCCTC